TATGCGCGCACATTCCTGCAGCGCTATTCATACTCCCGCGACTTATCCAACGCTATTCCCGCGCTTATAGCGCTATCAGAACTACCAGCAATGTGTCTATAGGAGCATTAGTGCATGTCCGCTCTATCTAGCGCTTGTTCCCACGCTTAGCACTTATCCAGCGCGCTGTTCTCACGCTCTAGGATCCACCCGAAACGTCGGAATCCATCCATGGTCCATCCTACCTCATTGGTATGTAATTTGCCTTGCCTCGAGTTTGTAAAAAGTGCTACAGTCTTATCACATGTATATCCTATCCCTTCCAAGTCTGAGATGGTATAGTTTACTAGTATAAGAAGCCTATGGTGACTACTTCAACATCACTTCCCTTCAACTGTATTTCCTTTCCCTTAGGTTTTACTTAGAAGTAGTCACCCTTTAGTTGCGCTCTATGGCCCCTATTTGACTTTCCTTACCCTTGCAATCAATACCCTTGATTTCACTTGCTATTCATTACCCTCCTTTGACTCAGTGTCTGCTTTCTTGACTTCCGCTCTTTCCTGCGCATTAGCGCTCTATCTTGCGATGCGCTATTCCTGCGCTTTAGCGCTCTTTCGGGTCTTTTGATCTTGAGTTGTCCTTAGTAGCTTTTCCCTCAGGTCGAACGTTCTTGCTTTTTGTTTGCAAGTATAGCAGCATAGGCAGAGCTTAGACATATACTGGCTGAGTACCTTAACAAGTGCCTAGTCAGGTTGTGTTTTTCACAATGGACCTCGACTTCCTTTCAGCGTCAATTCCTCATCATTATCGACCCTCAGCTCCCCATTCTTGTCACTCTCACCTCATGCTCAGTTCACCGCTCCAAAATGCTATACAACTCTCGTCATTCTGTCAAAATCATACCCATTTATATTGATACTCACTCAGTCCTTTCATACTCTCTTTCCTTTCTATCTACTCTACCCTGTCAGGAGCGACACCACTCCCTTCGGCATCTGTCTTCACCTAATCGTTCAGCCTATCCATACCGAGAACCCTTAGCATTTTGCAGTATAAAAGTAGTCCATGTGCACTCACTACTGCAGGCAAATATACCAGTCTCCCAGTCTCATTCTCGCACTCGTCTTCTAAAACCACATCGTTATATCTATCATTTATCATTTCAAACTCGTCTTGATCCTTATGGAATATCTTTTGTTAACGCTAATCTAATTCTGCAGTGCATATACAGCACACTGGTGGTTTCCCCGCCCCTTCGAACTCACAGCGAGAACCACTCAGGTTCCGACAATTTACTTACTTGGATCTGCACGCTCACTTGTTCACATCACCATCGCAGAAATTCAGCGCATGGGCCACGGCTTGCTTGGGCCCAAGCCCTGGCTTTTGGCCGGCTTGGGCTCACAGCTCAGGCTTGAATTCTGGTGAGCCTAAGCCAGGGCTTTGAGCCCAAGCTGGGCCGGAACATCACTAGACCCTGCTGGGAAAATTTGCAAATTGTACACCTTTGTTTTCTCAATCACACACACATTCTGATGGTCTTTATATATCCTTTAGAATTTTCAGTCGCTTTACAGAGACTGCCGGCCTGGGCTGCACCGAGTGGGCTATCCATGCATTGGACTTGTACTTCATTGCTGCGGCTAAGGAGGGCCGCTGGGTGCGCAACCGCGCAAAGGGACATATCTATTAATTTGAATCTTACAATGCCCTGAGGCAACACTTAATTGGCATCAAAATTTGCTTTCCATTCATCGAACACGCAACTCAGATAGATCTCCCAGACGAAGTAGTATCACACCCAGCTTGGTGAGATTAGTTTCACTTCATGCATCATGCAATTCTGACTGCAATAATCTGCGTCGTATAAAGTTCAATCCTCATCTATGCATGATATTGAAGCCTGATTGACGGGCCTTCGTGGTTGTGTGTACTATATAGAACAGTCTGATTTATAAAATGATCAGTCGCTTGCGCTCCAAGCCGACCAACAACCTTGACAGAAATCTAAACATGCTATAGTATTGTCATATACCATATTCCCGGGTACAGATCCGATCCAGATCCAATGGACATATCCGTCGTCCAGTCCACAGATCCGATCTAATCCTTATTTCATGTCCTGTTCATATAACTCTAACTATCGTTCATCTCCTTTTGGCATTCCTGTACACCGGTATACTGGTTATCCTTTACTTCCGTTATGCTTACTGATCTGCTACACTTACTGATCCGCTGTAGCTTATACTTCATTCCCGGTTATGATTCGTTATCCATCCGACTTACCAATATGCTGTACACATACTTTGCTTATACTTCGTACATAGCCTCGCGTCCTTGCTTATTGATCATTCCGTTAGTTATCCGTAGTATATAAGCCCTTGTACATGCACTGTAGTAGATCAGTTCGAATATCATCTTAGATTGCACTCATTCTGTCTGGACTCTAAGTCCTTCCGTTATCCATCCGGACTTGAGTACTATACTCTTGTCTACTCTGAGACTTAGGATTGACTCCTATAAGTCTATATATCTGTCTCTGTCTTCAGACAGTCTTCACCCGTTAGTTTCTAGTTTGGATCTGATCCGGATTAGCCGTTACTCTATACGTTCAATATCCGGAAGCCTTAACAGATCCGTTGTGGGTATCACAACCTGGCAGGCACATATAAGAAAAGTGCTCAGCCAGTATAAGTGAGTCTCAGCTCTGCCTAGCTGCTATACTTGCAGAATGCAAGAACGTTCGACCCTAAAGGGGAAGCAAGGAAAGCAAGGATCCACAGAATGATGCTGAACAACCCTGGTGAATGGCGGTGAAAGCGCGAGAAAGTGCGCGCGGGAAAGCGAAGTGCGAAAGTGCACGAAGCGCGGGAAGGTAGTGCAAGCAGTGCACAAGTGTAGGAGACTGATGCTGAGACTGATAAGAGGTAAAGTGCGGATCTAGATGGATACTGATAGTGCCCACTAGCTATAGACTGATGCTAGGGCCTCAAGATGATGATGGATACATGCATTGCATGGAACTAACTGGTGATAGATACTGAGTGGTAGGAAGCTAAGGTGGAAAAGTTGCTAAGGTGTAAAACGAACATGAAAGTATGTAAGTTCTACCTAAGCGCTTTCCCAGGGCTCGGAGCCGAATAGGGAGTGCTCTAAGTATGTAAGTGAGGTAAAGTGATGTAAAGTAAGGGTGCATAATGAAATGGGAAGTGTAATATGCCAAATATGGTCAGATAACGAAAAGGGATATACCAAGGGACTGGTTGGACGATGGATGGATGCTCCTGGATGCTGTGTGATGTAGTGCACTTAAGTGCGAGAAAGCGCGCAAGGCGCGCATGTGGGAATACTGCGCATTGTGCGGGAAAGTGTCGCACCTATGGCGCGTTTTGCGGGAAAGTGGTGTGCACTATAGGGAATGACTAGAGGATGATGGTGCGAGTTGTGCCATGAAGGCCAGTTGTCAGAATTCATAAAATGAGCCCATATGTGCCTGCAGAAACGCGAGTCTCTACAGTGCGCTTTGGCAACAATTGGTTATGGCAAGGGGTAAGAACAGTCCCCTTGCCACAACCAAATTTCCACACCCCTTTGGTACAATAATGGTATTCAAAGTTAAAATATCAAGGTTCTGAGACACTGTCAAATTCTTTCAGCACTCTACAGAACGTCGGCAGACTTCCAGCGGAGTCTGAAATTGAAGTTGGTCCATGCATACACCATGCCTGCTATACGCCCTCGAGTATGACGTTCAGAGCGACTCAAGATCCAAGTGCAAAGACTCACCAATTCGCCAATAACTATCCAAATGCAGTCTGCACGTGGTACTAGGGGAAGGGGCACGGCTACTCATGGTACAAGGGGACTGTGGGACGGCTGCTACCTCAGCCAGCACTGCCGCATCTCATGGTGATAATCATGGTATCAGCAAAATCCGCTGGGAAATGCCAAACTGTAATCGAACTTCTACACTTGTAACATACCTACACAATCATCCTGCCGACCGTCGAGTTCTGTTTTATGAAGGAAAGAAATCTCAGCCTAATGATGACGGTGTAGAGACTCACATGTCTGCAGGCGCATATGGGCTCATATTACGAATTCTGACAACTTGCCTTCAATGCACAACTCACACCATCATCCACTATGACTTCCACCATGGAGCGCACCACTTCCCGTGAAACGCGCCATAGGTGTGCTACTTTCCTGCACTATGCTGCAGCATTCCCACGCACGCTGCCTTGCGCACTTTCTTGCTGCATCATCCAGGAGCGTCCATCCACTGTCCAGCCAGCCCATTGATATGTATTAGTTTGCTATTCTCACTATTTCCCATTACCTTTCATTATTACATACTTTGTATGGCACCATTTTCTTAGGCTGAGTAGGCATTACATATAGATGACTGTGATAATGCAAGGATGGCGCGGATGTGTCGCGTTAGGCGCGGGAATGTAGCGCGTGAAATGTGTGAAGTGTGAATGTGCGAGGAAACACGAGGGGATGATAGCGCGATGATGTCCATGTCTAATATGTCTGTGGGGCATAAGGCGATGCTAGGCGGTCCAAAAGCGATCCAATCCATGTCCAAACCAAGTCCCACTAGGCGCACTAAGTATTAGGTGCTATGGATTGAATGGCATGAGTAAAACTATATTCAAAAACGTGGAAGAGAGACGGCAAACAGTGCGGATGTCCAAGTCCAACTTGGCTTCTTCATTCTTCTGTCAACATCTATTCCTTCCAATGAGCGCGGAAGTGCTGGGAAATGTGCGCGCATATGAGGCACATTCTAAGGTAAAAGGTGCATGGTGCCGCTTCATGCGTTCGAAGAGAAATGATATCCTACTGGGTTAGGCAGGCACAATGTATGGTCTTTTGTTCTTTTTGTTCTTTTCTTCTAGGTGGTTTTTCTATAGGCGTATATATCAGCGTGTTATTAATCCTTCGGACGGCATTATAATGAGAGAAAATGGAAATGAAAAGCGCTGGACGAAACCCAGGGTAAAACAAACTATATCCTATGAAAATGACGGTATATTTGGCGGTATACGGTATTTGCGAAATGGCGGAGTGGGGAAAGCGGATGGTGTGGATAATGATGGCGAGGGTCGAATGATGGAGTGGATGGGTCGGAAGCTGGCGCGTTTGGATCTTCTTCGTTGAGCTCTTCTACTTCTTCTCCTACCAGTGCATTCCTGGTGTTCTTCATCTATCTGAGGGTGCGCGATGCTGCGGGTCGAAAAGTGCGTGGGGCGATGGTGAAAGGCGACTAAGGGCGGCGGTATCTTCATCTTCTGACTCTGCGACATCTTCTCCTACCGGGTATAAACCGAATCTTCAAATGCAGCTTGATGGTGGACTAGTAACCGGCGGAATGAATTCTTGCACCTTGCGGTACAAGTTGAAAGCACAGCCTAATGGGGCGATATAAGGCGCATGGTGGTGCTCTATGGTCAGATAATGTGCGCGTGAGCTGCATGCACAATCGTGTTTGGGCGCATTGGAATCTATATCCTCTGAATATGTGAGGAGCGGCTGATACACTGTGAAAATATTAACACGAGGCGAATGATAAGCGGTATTAGGTGCGGATAATGCGCAACTGTGTCTGATAGACTCTAGGTCAAGGGCCAATTGGCGCCAAGACATAAATGGATGGCCCTTGATAGGGCATGCAACAATGATATCAATACCATAGGTGGAAGAGCAGAAAATGCGGATAAAGGTGAAAGACGCGAAGTCATAGACAATGATAAATGCGAAAGGCGTGTGAATATAAGCGAGATGAGCGCATAAGTTGCGCATGAACATCGAATTAAAATGAGACTGATTCTGGACGAGAGAAATGCGGCTTAAAACTGATGAAATGGTGAAAGTGCAATAGCAGGAAGACTCTTCTGCAATGATAGGTGCATATAGCACGGGAAATAAAGCGCGTGGCAGCACAAATGCGGCACATGAATGACGAATTAACAATGAACTGGTGCAGAGATAAAGGCGAAACATTTGCAAATGGCATATGGCTCCTTGAGAGCTTTAAACACAAGATAAACGAGAAATGCGACAATGAATGAGGATGAATATACAATGCCTCTGGGTGCATGACCTGTGCGACCTTAGGCATATGGCGGCGCACTGGAGGCGCATCAGAGTCATCTGAGACATGATCTAATTGGCGGATGGGCGATGTGATGCACGGATGTTTCACCGGCAAATGGAAATCACTGTAGGCGGAAAACGCGAAAGGTGCGGAATTATCAGTGATGAGTGGGGTTACCAGAGACATACTCTGGTCAGAAAGTGGCGCATTTTGAACCTCTGTTGCCACAGAAGGCTCCGGAATGGGCGCGTTAGGATGTGATGGATGTTTAGAGTCATCCCTGACTGATGTAATAGATGTTTTAAAGTCATCACTGACTGACGGCGGTATGGTGCACGGATAATGCACCTGCGGATGGTCACTGTGTGCATAAAACGTGACAAGCGCAGATGTATCAGCAACTAATGGGGTTTCCAGGGACATAACCTGGTTGGATAGCAGCGTGTTATTAGCCTCTGGTGCTTCAGAAGGCTCCGGAATAGGCGCGCTAATGTGCAATGGATGTTTAAAGTCATCCCTGACTACGGATAGATGTTTAAAGTCATCGCTGACTGTCGGCGGTATGACGCACGGATATTGCACCTGTGGATAATAGTCACTGTGCGCAGAAAGCGCTGACAAGCGCGGAATGGTCAGCAACTAATTGGGTTTCCAGGGACATAACCTGGTCAGATAGTGGCACATAATGAACCTCTGATACTTCAGAAGGCTCCGGATAGGGCGCGTTAAGATGCAATAGATGTTTAAAGTCATCCCTGACTGCCAGCGGTATAATCTCCTCCAGAGGCACTTCTGGGAGGTTTGGGATGGTGATAGGCTTGCATACTTCGAGCTTGGGCGGAATATCTTCAGCTGACGGATATTCTGGTGCAGATATGGGCTCTTGAGGTGCGCTTATGATGCGCGCTTCAAGTTGGACTGATGGCGGGGCGGGTGATGTCAAGGGGTGCTTCTGGGACTACTGGAATGGGGGTGGCATCACATACTTCGGATATTGGTGCGATGGCTTTGGCTGCTGGTTGCTCTTGAGTGTGTTCTGTTTGTGGAGGTGCGCTTGCAAGGGGCGCTTCGATGGCGGCTGGTTTTTTCGAAGATAAGGCACGTATAGTGGTCAACACCACATTCTGGCCAAAAATCCAAGACAGTGATCAGCAAATTCCACATAGTTGTCAAATTCGCAGTATGAGAGAAGCTCTCTCTCATCAGGCTCCATATATCGTAAAGCGAACTTGATACAATCCTTGTCTGATAAACTGTTGTATTGCGCGAGTCGATCTACTGACTCCAGGAAGTGGACGAGTTGCCTTGAATCACCTGTGAAGTGCGGGGCACCTTGCTGCGTGCGCAAGGGCATGCTGGATGAATGTAGTGAGCTGATCATGGCGTGGGAATTAGTGGGTTAAGTGCGAAAGGATGCAAGAAAGATGCGAAAAAGCGCGGATTTGGGGATAAGGTCGAAATTGCGGGTGGCCTAAAGGTTGAAAAAGCGCAGTGGATATGCTGACTGTTCCCCTCGCGGTGGGCTCCAGTTGTGGGTATCACAACCTGGCAGGCACATATAAGAAAAGTGCTCAGCCAGTATAAGTGAGTCTCAGCTCAGCCTAGCTGCTATACTCGCAGAATGCAAGAACATTTCGACCTCTAAAGGGGAAGCAAAGAAAGCAAGGATCCATGGAATGATGCTGAACAACCCTGATGAATGGTGGTGAAAGCACAAGAATGTGCGCATGGGAAAGCGAAGTGCGAAAGTGCGCGAAGTGCGGGAAGGTAGTGCAAGTGGTGCACAAGTGAAAAAGACATATACTGAGACTGATAAGAGGAAAAGTGCAGATCTAGACGGATACTGATAGTGCCCACTAACTATAGACTGATGCTAGGGCCTCAAGATGATGATGGACACATGCATTGCATGTGAACTAACTGGTGATAGATACTGAGTGGTAGGAAGGTGGTGGTATGAAGCTAAGGTGGAAAAGTTTGGGTGTAAAATGAACATGAGAGTATGTAAGTTCTACCTAAGCGCTCTCCCAGGGCTCAGAGCCGAATAGGGAGCGCTCTAAGTATGTAAGTGAGGTAAAGTGATGTAAAGTAAGGGTCCATGACGAAATAGGAAGTGTAATATGCCAAATATAGTCAGATAATGAAAGGGACATACCGAGGGACTGGTTGGACGATGGATGGATGCTCCTGGATGATGCGCGATGCAGTGCGCTTAAGTGCGAGAAAGCTGCGCATGCGGGAATGCTGCTGCATAGTGCAGGAAAGTGTCGCGCCTATGGCGCGTTTCGCAGGAAGTGGTGCACTCCATGGTGGAAGTCATAGTGGATGATGGTGTGAGTTGTGCAGTAAAGGCCAGTCATCAGAATTCGTAAAATGAGCCCATATGTGCCTGCAGAAATGCGAGTCTCTACAGTGCCAACAATCACAGAAGCATCACTTGCAAGCTGCACTTCCAGCACCAGAACATGCCCAAGAGCAACCAGAAGGTGCAGCTACAGCGCCTAAAACCGAAATATGCGACACCATCTCCGCCCAAGTAGTCCCAGAAGCACCTCTCAACAAAATTGCCCCACCACCAGTCAGAATCAAAGCGCCCATCATATGCACACCTCAAGAGTCTGAGTGCGACCCAGGATATCAGGTTGCTGAAAGTATTCCACCAAAGCTCGAAATCCACGAGCCCCTCATCAGTCCCAATCCTTCCAGAAGCGCCTCTGGAAGAGATTATATTGCTGTCAGTCAGGGATGACTCTAAACATCTATTGCACATTAATGCACCAATTCCGGAACCTTCTGCAGTATCAGAGGTTCAATATGCACCGCTATCCGACCAGGTTATGTCTCTGGTAGCCCCGTTTGTTGCTGACTGACTCCGCGCTTGTCCCTGTTGTCCACACACAGTGACCACCATCTGCAGGTGCAATATCCATGCACCACATCGCTGTCAGTCAGGGATGACTCTAAACATCTATTGCATATTACCGCGCCCATTCCGGAGCCTTCTGCAGTGTCAGCAGCTCATCATCATACACCGCTTTTTGACCAGGTTCAGTCTCTGGTAACCCCATTTGTCGCTGACGACTCCGCGCTTGTTGCGTTTTCCGCTTACAGTGATTACCGTTTGCTGGTGAAACATCCATGCATCACATCGCCCATCTGCCAATTAGATCATGTCTCAGATGACTCTGATGCGCCTCCAGTGTGCCGCCATATGCCTGAGGTCGCGCAGGTCACGCACCTAGAGGCATTGTATATTCATCCTCGTTCTATGTCACATTTCTCGTCTATCTTGTGTTTAAAGCTCTCAAGGAGCCAGACACCATTTGCCATTATTTCACCTTCATCTCCGCACCAGTTTATTGTTAATTCATTGTTCACTGCGCCGCATTCGCACACTACACTGCTTTATTTTCCACGCTATATGCGCCCATCATTGCAGAAGAGTCTTCCTGCTATCGCATTTTTACTGTTTCATTTGTTTTGAACTGCACTTTGTCATCTGGAACCAGTCTCATTTTAATTCGCCGTCCATGCGCAGCTTATGCACTCGTTTTGCATATATTTATGCACCTTCAGCACTTATCATTGTCTTTGACTTCGCATTATTTGCCTTTATCCGCAATTTCCATTCTTCTGTCTATCATGTTGATATGATCCTTGCATGCCCTATCAAGGGCCATCCATTTATGTCTTGGCGCCAATTGGCCCTTGACCTAGAGTCTATCAGACGCTGTCACACATTATTTGCGCCTATTATCAATTATCATCTGCGTCATGTCAATATTTTCACAGTGTATCAGCCAGTCCTCTCATATTTAGAGGATATAGATTCTAATGCGCTCAAACACGATTGTGCGCGCAGCTCACGCGCACATTATCTAACCATAGAGCACCCACATGCGCCTTATATCGCCCCATTAGGGCGCGCTTTCAACTTGTACCGCAAGGTGCAAGAATTCATTCCGCCAGTTACAAGTTCGCCATCAAGCCACATTTGAAGAAGATTTGGAATATACCCTGGTAGGAGATGTTGAAGAGTTAGAAGATGAAGATACCACCGCCCTCAGTCGCCTTAGTCGCCTTTCACCATCGCCTCATGCGCTTTTCGACGTGCAGCATTGCACACCCTCAGATAGACGAAGAAGACCAGGAACGCACTGGTAGGAGAAGAAGTAGATGAGCCTGACAAGAAGATCCAAATGCGCCAGCTTCCGACCCATCCGCTCCATCATTCGACCCTCACCATCATCATCTGCACCATCCACTTTCCCCAGCTCCACATATACCATTTACCCTGGGTTTCATCCAGTGCTTTTCATTTTTCATTTTCCCTCATTATAATGTCATCCAAAGGACTAATAACGCGCTGATATATACGCCTATAGAAAACCGCCTAGAAGAAAAGAAGAAAAACAAAAGACCATAGATTGTGCCCACCTAACTCAGTAGGATATCATTTTCTCTTCAAATGCATGAAGCGGCACCATGCACCTTTTTACCTTAGAACACGCCTCATATGTGTGCACATTTCATGCACTTCCACGCCCATAGGAAGGAATAGATGTCGACAGAAGAATGAAGAAGCCAAGTCGGACTTGGACATCTGCACCATTTGCCATCTCCTTTTCGCGTTTTTGAATATAGTTTTACTCATGCTATTCAATCCCATAGCACCTATTACTTAGCACGCCTAGTGGGACTTGGTTTGGACATGGACACCATCGCACAAACATCCCCTCATGTTCCTTACAGTGATGCACATTGCGCATTCATCCCCTCGTGTTTCCTCACACATTCACACTTCACGCATTTTCACACGCTGCATTCCTGTGCCTAACACGACACATCCGTGCCATCCCTGCACCATCACAGTCGTCTCAATAACCGAGCACCCCTTGCATGACCACCATCATTGTAGGCCTGAGCTCATATCGTGATTCCTGTACCAGAGTCATTTCGCGCAAACCGCCATATGCAATGCATTCTCACGCTTCTGCGACACATTCCCATGCTTGCGCACATTGCGCATTAGCCACGCCTCATCGCACTTAGTTGCACTATCATCTGTGCCCATCACACTCGACGATCATCACATACCCTTGTTACCGACTTCGCTCGAGATCCTCACCAAACGCGCTCTGAGTGGGGACACTCAGTATTCAAAGTCCCCGGTGTAGAGACTCGCGTTTCTGTGGGCTCATATGGGCTCATATTATGAATTCTGATGACTGGCCTTCACGGCACAACTTGCACCATCACCCTCTAGTCATTCCCTATAGAGCGCACCACTTTCCCGCACAACGCGCAGTATTCCCGCGTGCGTGCCTTGCGCGCTTTCTCGCGCTTAAGCACACTATGTCGCACAGCATCCAGGAGCATCCATCCATCATCCAACCAGTCCCTCGGTATGTCCCTTTTCGTTATCTGACCATATTTAGCATATTACACTTCCCATTTCGTTATGCACCCTTACTTTACATCACCTTACCTCATTTACACACTTAGAGCGCTCCCTATTCGGCTCCGAGCCCTGGGAGAGCGCTTAGGTAGAACTTACATACTCTGATGTTTGTTTTAGACCCCACTTTTACCACCTTAGTTTTCTACCACTCAGTATCTATCACCAGTTAGTTCCATGCAATGCATGTATCCATCATCATCTTGAGGCCCTAGCATCAGTCTATAGCTAGTGGCACAGTCAGTATCTGTCTAGACCCGCGCTTTTCCTCTCATCAGTCTCAGTATATATCTTTTACACCTGTGCACCGCTTGCATTACCTTCCCGCGCTCTGCGCACTTTCGCACTTCGCTTTCCCGCGTGCTGACATGCACGAAACCTGTTTCGTACATGGTCATGGTAAATTTATGACACATGCTAGTCCTTACTTTAGTCTATGAACATCCCCTGAATTTTCGATACCTTACTTCAATTTAATTTGGACATTTCTGAGCATGTATCATCAAACTACGGCTTAGCGGTTCAAATTAAATACTTATCTTGCACACAAATCAGTGTCAAAACCCTTAATTTTTCATTAGTCAGCAATTTCCCACACCTTTCATAATTTTCTCACACATTTTCACATCTCATGAGACATATACAACATCTTAACATTTTTTACATTATCATCTCAATATTTGAACAATGTCAGTAGGTGATAATTAGTAAGAAAATCCATTTTATGTGATTGGTTGGACAAAGGATTAGTAATCAAATGCACAGCAATTAGGCAGTGCTAGAAGGACCTGTAGCACAGCCTTTGCTGAGTATTCTAGAACGTTCTATGAGTATCTTACTAATCATTCCATAACATTCCATGACCTTCTATGACATTCTACAAGATTCTATTGTTC